AGCTAGGTACAATGTAACTGGGAGATCATTATGGAGGCAGGCACTGTAGGTAGAGGGTCTGGGAAAGGACCAATATGGCAGGTAAGGGTTAGAGCTGAAACTAGAAGGAAGCCAGGGGAACCAAGAGGCAGATGTGAGGAAGGGGAACGAGCCAGGCATGGGGAACATCTAGAGACCTGGAGCTAATGACCTCAGAAACCATTGAGTCCCACAGCCTCGTTTTACAAAAGAGGAAACGGAAATTCAGAAATGTTAAGTGACTTGCCCAAGGTCATATATGTCACAGGAAGAATTTAAACCCCGGACTTTCACCTCCAGCATCGGTGCTCTTTGCACTAAAATACATTGACATTTATTATGTACCTACTGCTTATGAAGAGGACTAGAATGGAGCTAACACATGGTCCCTACCCTTATGCAGTTTATATATCTCATGGGCATAAGATAAAGACCCAGTGAACTATAATATGTAGCATTATATGATAAGCTAAGTTTTAAAGAAGTACAAAACAGTACTGTGTGAGATCTGAGAGGAAGCAAGGAGGTAGATAGTGTTCTGAACTTGGGAGTCTGGGAGATCTGAGTTTAAATCCTGCTCAGACATTTAGTAGCTGTGTGACCCTAGGCAGTCACTTAACCTCTCTCTGCCTCAGTTTCCCCATACATAAAATGGGGACAATAATAGCACTACCTCCCAGGATTGTTGTGCAGATCAAATAAGGTAACATATGTGAAGTTATAAAATATATGGAAAGATATAAATACTGTTGTTGTTTTTATTATTATTATTACCAACCAGGGTAACTAGGGAAGTGAAGCTTCCTGAAAGAGCGGGGATATGAGTTAGACTTTAAAAAATAGATAGGAATTAAAGAGGTAAAGAAAGGATCCTTCCCAGGTATAAGGAAAAGGGATCAAAGCCCCAGAGGGAGGAGAACCCCTCACTTTTACTTTCCTCAGATCAATCTCTTCATGTTGCCATGTTTCTATGCTAGAAGGAGAAACTTGGGAAAGGTCTGGGCACAGTGCAGCCATATTTGGGTAGCACAAAGCAGATTGCTCTGATTAGACCATGGAGTAGAGTACATGGAATAGAAATCTGGGTGGTTCCAGATTTCTGAGGGCCTTGCAACTCAAGAAAAGTGATTTTCTGCAACAGGGCCTCCATGCTACCAATGCTCTTTTCCCCAAACATCTTCCATTCTGGCTATAGGTCATGACTTCATACAAAAATTTTCAAAAGTCTCCCCTGAAAATTTTCTAGTGCTGAAGGAAGCATACGTCACAATGGTGTAGGCTACCCCTCCTTTAGCCCTAATTCCTCAGCCTGAGAGATGCTTAGTGAGCTTCTGGAAGCTAAAGGAACCCTCTACAAGAAGTAGCACGCAGGCATTGATGCCCAGACATTCCCCTTGGTCTCTGCTGCTGGCCCTGGAGCAGTGAAAGGGGAAGAGACTGATTAATGTAAAGTGGAAATGAGATTCTCTCTCTTGTTGACTCAAACCAGTGGGGCTGGACCTCAATGAACTATTTAGAAAAGAATCAGTCTCCGGTAACTGCAGCCCTCCGCCCTCCAACTTGGCACTGACTGCTTGACAAAGCAAGTTAATGATACAGGCTGCAAAACATTTTAAGGAGAGGCAAGATGAATCTTTGGAGGCTGTGAAACTAGCCCTGGGCTGCTGCTGGTGAATTCAGCACCTTCATTCATCATCTTCCCATTCCCCACTGGCCAGCACCCCCAATATTGGAAATGAAATAGCCGATAGTCACATAGTGCTTTAAAGGTGGCAAAAAGCACTTTATATCTATGATCTTATTGGATGCTCAATAAAAGCAGGCACTGCAGACACTTTGTTTAGTCATTTTCAGTCATATCTGACTCTTCATGACCCCTTTGGGGGTTTTCTTGACAAGGATACTGGAGTGTTTTCCATTTCCTTCTCCAGCTCATTTTATAGATTAGGAAGCTGAGGCAAACAGGGTGAAGTGACTTGCCCAGGGTCACACAGCTAGTAAATGTCTGAGGCCAGATTTGAACTCAGGTCTTCCTGACTCCAGACCCAGTGCTCTATCCACTGTGACACCTAACTGTCCTGCAGACACTATAAACCCCTTTTACAGATGATAAAACTGAGGCTTGGGAAAATCATCTGCCCAGGACAACATGGATAGAGACAAGCCTAAAAGCCAGGTTTCCCCTAACTCCAAGTCCAGTATTCTTCCCACTATAACACCAATATAGATCCCATCCATTGTGCTAGTGCCTTGCTCCCACCATCCCCTTGTCTCCCTTTTGTATATATCTATATTGTAGTGTTTTCAGGATGCACCTCTCACTTGGGATGTTGCAGCAGCCTTCTGGCTGACCTCCCTGCATCACATCTCTCCCTGATTCAGTCCATCCTCCACTCAGCTGCTAAAGTGATTTTCTTGAAGCTCAGGTCTGCCCATGTCCCCTCCCTGGCCCCCTATCACCTCCAGGACCAGACATTAAATCCTTTCTCTTGCTTCTAAAGTGCTTCAGAACCCGGCCCCCTCTCACCTTTCCAGTCTTCTTAGAACTGACCCCCCTCCACACGTTCTATGATACAGCAACATGGTTCTTTCCATACTGGCTGTCCCCCAGTCCAGGGATTCTCCTCTACATCTCCTGGCTCCCCTTAAATTCTAACTAAAATCCTCTATTCTATAAGAAGCCTTTCCCAATCCTCCTTAATGCTGGTGCCTCCCCTTCATGCTTCTCCCCAAATTATCCTGTATACAGCTTGTTGTACATACTTTTCCCCCACATTTGGCCATGATCTCCTCGAGGTCAGAAGTTTTTCTAGCCTTTCTCTGTATCTTCATCACTTAGCACATATATAGTAGGTGCTTAATAAATGCTGACTTGATTTAATTTAAGTTCACAAACTCTATGACCCAGCCATACTGGTCATCTTGCTGCTCCTTGCACGTGATACTCCAATTTCTGACTATTTGCCTTTTCACTGGGTTTCTCCCACACCTGGAACATTCTCCTTTCTTGTCTCTACCTCCTGACTTCCCTGACTTCCTTTAAGATTCAGCTCCAATCACACCTGCTGCAAGGGATCTTTTCTAGTACCCGTCCCCTCACTGACCCCACTCTGAGATTACTTCCCCAGTCTGTAACATAGTGCTTCTCTCTCTCTCTCTCTCTCTCTCTCTCTCTCTCTCTCTCTCTCTCTCTCTCTC